CTTCCTCGCGCATCCAAGCTCTTCCTTGTAGCTGTGTTTATCTGTTTGCTTGCTTGTGACAAGCAATTGCCATGTTGGCCAGGCTGGCAGCGAACTCCTGGACGCCAGCAATCCTCCTGCTCCAGCATCCCAGGCGTGTACCGCAATCGCATGAGCTTTGAACTGCCAGCTGAATATAGCTGAGTCAACCCGCTCAATGTGGCCCACTGGCAGACCCCAGAACACTGCATTCCGAACAGCCAGACGCTGTCTAAATTTCTAACCATCCGAAATAATAAATTACAACTGTCTCAAGCCACGGATTTGAGTTGACGTGTTGCCCCGGTCTTTCTAAACGTCACTGTCCAACTTGCTATGAACGTTTTATTCTGAATGGGAGAATCTACTAGGAAGATTGAGGGGTCCAGTTTCACTGAAGTTTACATGGGGCTGAACACATCTCTGAGTGTCACAGTCATGCAAAGCTTGCCCTCCAGGTTTCTTGCTACATTGCTCTCATTCCTATTGTCACCAGCAACTAAAATAAATAAGATGGGAGCTAATGGGGTAATGGGTTCCTGGAAAAGCACAGCACATTCTTTCTACCACTTAGAAACGATGTGTTCAGCAAAAAAAAAAAAATCCTGATGGAGGCTTGGATTTAAAGGTGCGGTGCAGTGGCCAGATAAACCTAGCAGCCAGGCTCCCATCCCTGGAGCCCATCCCAGAACTCACCCTTGCCCAGCCCACATGCTACCTATTACCTTTTCTTTTCATGCCATGAATATTAATCCAGCAGTGGGAGGATTTTCAACTATTGTAAGCCTAGGTAGATCATGCTACATTTACACCTCCATCTTGTTTGCTGTGGAGGAGACAGCTTTGTTTCCCTACCATGAAATTATGCTGGAAACAAATATTGAAATAGACAAAATTATATGCATGAATATTACTTCTAAAAGGATTATTATTTCTAAAAATGTGAATTTTCTTTTCCATGGAGGTATTCTCTAAGCTGAAACTCACATTCAAGATCTCAGTCTGTTTATATGGGACCCCTAAAGAGATAGGGTAAAGCAACAGAGTACATCTACATAAAACAAAGAAAGGAAAATTGGCAGTTGGTGCCCTAAAGGTTACTACCCAGAGCTTCTCTGTAGGCTCTGACACCCAGCTTCTCTCATTCCCCCTTCTTCGTTTCTTACATAGCTTGCAGCTCCAACTGAGCCCCTCTAATGGTTCCTTACAGGCTGTACTCGCTGTCCTGCAGCCTCTCCCAGTTTAGCACAATTAGCAAGACTACTATCTAATCCATAAGAAACTGAAGCATAATCCATAAAGCAAAGGCAGCCTGACGCCTTACTCAATTCGAAAATTGTCAGTTCTGTCAAAAATGCCAACGTTCAATCCAGTATCCACCACACACCATCCCCAACTCTTCATTGTCTATCAGTAGCTGTGCAGGGGTAAAAGAGGCTGAAATGTGACCAATTTTGTAGCCGACAAATGAATCCTGAAATGTCTATAGCAATATAAACACAGGCAGCATGCAGATGAGACTTCGTTTGGCTCTGCAAGGGTTTGACGGGCATCGCTCAGATAACACAGGAAAATTTCCACATTGTGAAGGCTGTAGGTATACAGGATAGTCTATGGCATGGGCAACACCAACGGCTGTGGCTATAAAAACAATAGGGATTGGGGTGGGGGCTGAAGAGATGGCTCAATGGATAAGAACATTGGTTGTTCTTCCAGATGACCTGGGTTCAATTCCCTGCACCCACATGGCAGCTCACTCCAGTTCCAAGGGATCCAACACCCTCACACAGACAAACTTGCAGGCAAAACCCAAGTTAATGTTCATAAAACAATCAGGGGCCAAACCAGTGCAGGACCGATGGGATACAGTGAAGCCATGTTAAGATACTTCCTTATTTAAGAGATTTAGGATGTAGGAGGGAAATACAAGAGGCTCACACTGACTGTTCCACTATTATTCCTGTGATCTGAGGTGTACACTTGCTGAGTTCTGAGAGAATCTGGACAAGAAACAGGAAACACCTCAGGGCCTTGCTGCTGCACCAAGAGAGGGGGCCACTTCGATGCTGACATTCTCTCTACCTTCTGTCTTGTCCCTTTCAGTTTTCAGCAGCATTGAAAGAATTCTGAAGTCAAGAGTAACTCTGTGTTCCTTGTAAGAGACTCTGGGGGGAATAGAATTAGAGAAATCCATGGTTCATGCAGAGGAAAGGCAATCTATGAAGGATCAATGCTTTCCTGTAACTGGGACCATCAAGGACTCACCTCTCAGGAAGGCTTCTTCTCAAGGTTCCACCTCCTGAAGGAAGGCAGATCCAACATCCCCAGCCTCATACATGAGGAACAAGGCTCACAGCCAAACTAATCCAGGACCCCTGACTTCAGGAGGCTCTTACCTCAGCTCTACCATCAATCATGTGTTCTAACTGATCTTCTGGATGTCAACGCCCAAGCAAGGGAATGAGAAGCCTCCCAGAAAGGATCTCTGTACACCACCTTCTCCTCCAGGTGAAGCATGAAAGGCGCCATCTTTACTGCTGGCAACCCCTGTCTCCTGTCCTCTTCCCTTCCCCAAATCTGGTCATCTCAAATGGACTCTCAGTGGTGTCCTAGATCTCCTGGTACTGAAGCCATATTGTTATTTTTTTATAGGTTGCTGATTCAAGGTTCCCCTCACTAAGAATCTTTTGAGTTCTCCTAGTACCAAAGGCAACCATTTCCTTCTTCTATGAAATCATATGTAGAACACATTCTCATATTCCCTAGCTTTCCCTCTGTATTCATCCGTCACCAATTGTTTCAGTGGGGGAAGAGGGATTCAGTTAAGATTTTTAAAAACACTGGCATATAATTAACACAGAAAAAGACATGGATGAAGTGTCCAGTTGCCATTGCCATGACAACACCAAGGCACAGGGCATTTTAACCCATAAGATGCTGCTTCATTTTCATTTCTTGTCAAACCCTTCTCCAGCCTTGATGCGACATCTGCCGCCAGAGATGAGTTTTGCCTATCTCTGGTTTCATGCCAGTAACATTACATATTGAGGATTTATGTTTTGTAACGGACTTCTTTTACTCCAGATATCTTCCTGATTCATCAGCGCTGTTGCTTCAGGCTTCCTTTTTGACCATTACATAGTATTCCATTCCCCAGTTAACGAATATTCAAACCAGATCATTCTCAGCCATGGCTTTAAAAGTAAGTGACACAAACATTTCAATAAACTGTAAGTTTATTTTATAAATGTATATTATAATTTCAGTAGTTCATTAAAAAGCCTTAAAGCCCTTGGACACTTCTATAAGGATTAGGCCAATTTACACTCCCACAATGATTGAATGATGACAACTCTAGGTGCCAAATGACATTGGGCACTTTGTTTTTGTTTGCTTGTTAGCTCATCGGCCACTTACATGTTTTCTTTTGGTAAATTATTGTTCAAGTCTTTGACTTGATTTTTGGTTTGTCTGTATGCAGCAGAGCCTTATTGGTAGCCCAGGCTGACCTGAATTTGAATTCCTCCTAAGTATGTCTTGATTGTGCTGGGATTCCAAGTACGTGCCACCCCACAAAGCAATTCTCTTTCTTAAGCTATTTGTCTACGGTATAGGGACTAATGACACCCAGTAGCCACACATCTCAGCTTACCAGTAAGTAGCACATGCCCACACGCGCTGACTTTATTTTCTATTGCTATCAGTGGTCTAGTAGAACCGACCGCCCTAATGCTGAGAAGTATCATAAGGAAAGTGTGCTACAGCAGCCAGAGACTCGGCTGTACAGAAATACTCCGCTTTGATTTTATTTTTAAAGCAAGAACTCAGATATAAAAAGACTTTCGGCCTTCTAATTTTAGTAAAAGTTTTATAATTTGACTCACAAGTATTTAGAATGAAATGTTTATAAGTGTAAAATATCCATGATTGGCTCATGTACCAAAATGAACTAGAGAGGCAGCCGATTCAGAAGGCAGGAAGGACAGCTGCTGGCGAGGCTAGTGCTGGCAGGCCTCGTGGGCAGGCAGTCCTTCCTTCATCTTCTTCCACAAAAAAAAAAAACCCTGCTTGCAAAATAGATGTGACCTTGATTTAGGCTGAAAAAGAACACAGCTACTCCCCCCAGCCTTGGAGGACTCCAGAAGGGCTGGAGACTCGCTAACAGTGTTTGGTGCAAATCAGGAAATGAGAATTCACCATTGGAGAATCAGCTAAGTGAGCTTCCTCCACCTTTCCCATCCAGTTCAGATTCTATTCTGTATCCAGTTCCACAGAGAAACCGAACAACTGGCCAGGAACTAGGCTGCTGCTGCTTACATGCAGAACTTCTAAGGCACTGCCAACTGCTTCCCAGCAGGCTTTGCAAGACACAAAATGGAGGGGTCCTAAACCCCGTCCTTCCTACCAGAGTCCTTAATCTGTTTGGAATACTTGGAATTCTACAGTAACCTTGTTACTTGTTCACACTACCAAGCGTTCTGTTTGATCATACAAGCATGAAAGTGTGTATGAAAATGTGCGCGTGCGCGCGTGAGTGTAAGATATAAGTGGAAAGACAAGAAAAGTAGGGATTTTTTTTTCTACTAGGAAGGCTGTGTCCTGATTATTTTTGTAGGATATGCACAGTGTGATCCTAAATTCTTTAGGACAGAGGAAGTCTTGAAACTGCCTGGAGAGCAACCATTTTTCAGGGTCAAAGGCTGACTAGATCAGTACTGGTAGGAAAAAAAAAACTCTTTGTAAGAATGCTATACAATCAAGTACACTTGCTTCATTTATACTTATGCATCTATCAAGGTTCAGGGGAAATTTTTCAAAGACATGGGAATTTTATATGGAAACTAAGTACTTAGAGATCATCACACACACACACACACACACACACACAAAATCTAAGCTAAATGCTTCACTACTGAGTCAGGTATTTAGTAACCCGGAACATTTACTGTGCAATTAATAAATACCATACACCAGTCTGGATATCAATGCATGACTTAACTTATTTATTCAACATAAAAAGGCTACAAACACTATCTTTACTTTCAGTGTGCAGAAAACAGAGAAACAGAGAGAGCAAATGGCTTGTCCCAAGTTACTTCCAGCTCAGGCAGTCTGACTCCAGAGTGCTAACTTTCATGCTATGCACTCAGTGGTCTCTCCCGGCATTCACAATCTGAAGTCCTTATCTCCACTGTGACTGTGTTTAGAAATCAGCCTGTAAAGATGCAAAGAGGTCAGACAAGGTCATAAGACTTGCATCTTAATCCCGAAGTATCAGGAGACTTTTAGGAGGCGGATGGGAGAGAAGAACCCCTTGTCTCTTTCTCTCCCTCCTCCCCCCACAGACGCACAGCTAGCAGCAACCATCTGCAAGCCAGGAAGATGATTCTCAACAACCCCCGCTGTCACCCTGATCTTGAACTTTTAGTTTCAGAACTTGGAGAAAATAAACTCTGTTGCTTAAGCAACACAATCTAAAAAACAGATTGAGCCAATATGCAATGTGGAGACCACTATTCCCAGTACCCCCAAAATCAGAAAGAACATGAACATGCATCTTTCTTTCACCCACATTTCTTCCTTATCTTCGCAAACTTTCCCGTTGTACCCTTAGATGCGGCCAAGAAACTGGAATCGTATTGGATTTTAGCATTATAAATATTCATAGATATTTTCAATATTCATCCCGATACATGCAGGTTAAGACGTGTTTACTGCATTGATCTTTGCGAAAGAAATATAAAAGCTTCTGATCAATATGAATGTAAAAGTTTCTGGCCATATTTTTAGCATAACTAGATTTTCAAGCAATAGCCATGGAGCTAAAATGGAATAAGAATGAAGACCTTAAATGGTGGTTCTTTGAGTGGTCCCATTTATTAAAAATAATCACAAAGCATACTAGTGATGCCAAGTACCCAGCATTCTGAGCTTGTGAAATGAATTATCAGTGTCTAAAAGGTCTTTGTCAACTCTAACATCTGTAAACATTTAAGTGGTATTGAACAGATTCCATAATCGGATCTGCTTTTAACTGTGGAAATCAATGCAGTTATTAAGAAGCTATTTGAATAATTCATGTTGCAAGAGGAGGCCTTCAGAGTAGCTGCAATGTGGTTGCCTCTTAATGGTATTTTAAATAAAGTTGTGTCTTGCTACAATGCACATTTAGCAAGTAAGGCCGATTCCCCATGCATCAGTCCAGAGGTGTTGATGTGAAATTCTGACAGTTGCATAGGAGTGGCTGGGCTATCTGGCTTTGATAAAGAAGGGAGTTAAAGGAGAGCTTACTCCCCCAGATCTCAGAGGAAGATACTATCTGCCTTTCACTCACCCACTGCCCGGCTCTTGAGATCTGACACTCCCCGAGATGCTCATCAATGGTACCATTGCAAGGTCATTCAGCCAAGTTAACCAGACTAAATGCACATTCCTCACTTCCAGTTAAAATGGATAAAGAACCAAATGGTTAAACATTTGGGCAAATGTAATCTTCTTTCTTTTTTTTCCCCTTGGGGGTAGTATTTTTCAACCTTATGTGAAACATTTCTTCACACTAAAATCAAAAGTAACATCAACCTTCAAAAATCTTTAAGCTTTGGACAAGTATCATACAATGTGAGACTTATAAGCAACCGTCCCCTAAGTTACCCCAATTCCTTATCTTATCCATTGCTTGAAGTACCTCCTTGACTGCGAAAGCAGTCCGTCCAAATTCTTCCTCTTAATAGGGCTCATGGCTACCTTCTCCTAGATAGCCCAAATGCCCTTTGGGCAATTAGCACTTTGGGCTGAGCCCAATTCAGTCAATCCACCCTTCAACAAGTTTGTTGACCTTTGAGGACACTCAATCAAGTAGAGCCCTTTCTGTCTTGCCAGTGATTGGTTGAAGGCAATGATCATAGCTTTTATGAGTTTTCCTGTATTCAGTTAATCCCAGCATTCGGGGAAGCAGAGACAGGCAGATCTCTGAGTTTGAGGCTAGCCTGGTCTATGGAGTGAGTTCCAGGACAGCCAGGTTTACACAGAGAAATGCTGTCTCCAAGCAAACAACCGAAAAATTAAAAAATGAAAAAAAATCTCTATCAGCTAAATTGTTTCTAATATAAAATGAATTACCAGAGTGCAGTCAGTTCCTTAAAATCACCCTCCTACCCTCTACTTCCAGGTCTCACAATTCTTCCCCGGAGCTCGAATCACAAAACTTCCCACGCTTTCTCCTGGCTTTCCCTCTTCCGTCCCATCCATAAATGTGCCCTTCACTGCACCCTGCCCACTACCCTCAGCTACTTACTGTAGGTGGAACTTTCCAAGCTTTCTCCCTCTTCTATGATCCTCTCAGCTTGGAACATCTTCCCTCCTTCTCTTAAAACAACCAATGCTTCCTGTGGGCAGGCTGCCTGAGAGCCAAGAGAGGATGTTCTCTGTATAGGCTAACCGCTGTAAAAAATGACCTTCCAAGCTGAGCGACAACCACAATCTCGGTTCACTTGTATTGCACTCCAATATTGTTGGGCTGCCAAGACATTTTTAAAGGTGTATTGGTGAGTATTCATGGTCTTTAAGAACTCAGCTTCCTCCAATCTGAGGAGGTGGCTCTCCTTTTGGCATTCAAGATCAACTTAGAAAAGTCAATGATCAGAAATGATCATGTAGAGGCTTCCCTGCCCAGAATGAGGTGGATGTTACAGGGCCCCAACCCGACTGCAAGGGAGACTGGGAAAGAGATCTGCAGGAGGAAAATCTAACAAGGTTGCTGCTCCACCGGGGTTTTCCAGGAAAGGCCCACTAACTGATCTCATTAGGGCTGGGATTATAAAGAGGGGGTAAGAAAACACTACAATCCTCCATTATAAAAAGTGTAGCTATATAAACACAAAAACACTTGCTATACTGGATGCTAAAATCCTACTTATTCATGCTCCCAGTTGAAATGAGAGTTCCTGGCAGGCAGCATTGTGACTCCTTTCTTCTTTTCCTTTTTCATCAAGCTAGGGTCTAATTACTTAGCCCAGGCTGACTTTGAATTTATAACCTTCCTGCCTCAACCTTTCAAGTGCTGGGATTAGCAGACACATGCCACCACAACTGACTTGGCAATGATTTTGCTTTTCATATTACCCATACATAGCACAGGATACTCCTACCAGAGTCGGTTCGCGTTTGAGCACAAATGGGTTGATGAGCAGTCTCAGTATGCTCTTTCTAGCTTCCTAGTTAGCCTGCCGAAACAGGACTGAAAGATCTGAAGATCAAGCTGTGCTTGAGGAAGGCTCCTCTGAGCACCGGAGGGCCAAGAGATGCTGCAGGCTCTCTCCCCGTGGACTGAATGATGCCTAGGACAAGCAGTCTCCTTTTGGAGACTGTGTGCTGAGTCTCCCTCACCACCGAGTCCTTAGCACCCACAGCTCTGAGAAAGCTTCTGTTGGGTGAATAACTGTAGATACTCACAGGTATTATTATAAGTCAGTAAATGAGATCATAGCACTAGTAATTTAATTTCAGGCAAAAAAGCAACAGCATTTAATACAAAGACCAGCAAAATAATTTAAAGAGGCCCTTTCACTATGGCTTACAATACTTACCTTCCTATCCCTTTACAAACTATCAACATACAAAATTATTCCCATAGTATCTGTGCTAATAAACCTTAGGCCAAGGAGATTTTAGAACACTGCATGATTTGTAAATAAAAGTGAAATGGCACAAGTCCATTAACTGGTTGCATGTAATGACACTAGTTGAACAGGTGCAGAGAGCTTTTCCTTTGAACTGAATCAGGACGAGCTGAGATATCATCAGGGAACTGAAAAGGCAGGAAAAGCTGTCTTCCTTTCCTGGTCTAAAAATAAACAGGAAGGCAAGGATAAGACTGAACTGTTCCCGAGCCAATATTTTGCAGCTTGTGTCGGGGACCTTTCTAAATTCTGTGCCTGAGTTATTTTGTTAAGGGTGGAGAACCCTCAAATGTCTAAAACTACAAAAGCAATCATAGTAAGATGCCTTTCTGGATACTCTATACTAACTGTTAAATGATCTTTCGAATGTTTTTGCTCATGCTAGACTAATGGAAGGGTCCGTCCTCTGGATTCTGAAGGTGGTAGTCAGAGTATCCTGATGCAGAAAAGTAGAGTGTTTGCCTTCTAGCACTTCATGGTTCTTTTTCGTTTGTTTGTTTGTTTGTTTTGTTTTGTTTTTAAATCTCCTTTGGTAAATGGAATAAAGAAGCATCAGGTTCTGAGCTAATCCAAACAGCATTTGCTTTAGAGCTTAAATTTGAATTACAATATCAACATCAATAATTTTTCATTTCAGTGCTTTTTTTATTAATAATTTCCAAATCTACTTTAACTGAACTGCATTAGGCAAAATAAGAGACTAAAACTTTAATACACCAATATTTCATAAAATTGCTTCTTCTATGATTTCCATCTAATTTGTCCTCAATTTACGACGAGCACTCAGTTCAAACTAGACGGATCAAACCTAAGTGTAACGCACACCTGAACCCCATAAAGGAGACCGCTTGCCGAACCTGGGTGTGAATGTGGACTGGCCTAGAGGCCTTGTCTTCTGCAGAGATGTAGGGATGTAATCGAGACCCGCAAAGTCAGGTGGCTTCTGAGAAGGCTCTACGGGATTTTGAAACAGCAAGTTTGATCCGGAAGGCTTCTCGCCTCTAGGAAATACCATCATCCATATCTCAGAGTCTCCCTGCTGTCTGTCCCACTGAGGACTGTTGAGTCCCTTCCAGTGCATGTTTTATCAGGTCACTGTGTGATGGGCATAGACTGACCTTCTGATAGGGGCAGTGACCAGGAACATACTATGGGCCAGAAGCCACCACGTTAAGCACTGGTCAGATCAACAGGGAAGAGCAGACACATGACCTGTTGCCATGGGGTTCACTGTGTGTGTGTGGGGGGGGGGCAACGTGTCTCTGATGGCACAATTACTCATAACAGAAAAGCCTCTCAGGAAAAAATAGGAACTGTGAGATGACATTACAGGGGTTCCTAATTTGGAGAGGAGCACAGCTTCCCAAGAAGGTACTGTTCTTTATATTTGCTCAAACCACTTAATTTATAAAACTTTAGTATCTTTAGCTGTAGGATGGAGAAATAGTACCTACCTTGTGGAGCTTTTGTGGGGATTAGATTAGATGATAAGTGAAATCATGAACGACAGTGATAAACACTGTATAAATGATCCATATATGTTTTTACGATTATCTTACAGTGACTATGATGATTGTGATTCTTTTAATTATTAACCTGGGTGGAAAAGCAAAAGTTGGTTGGCAAAAAGAGAGAGGAGAGAGGTGGTATGAAGAACTATTCAAGACAGGGACAAAAATGATATGAAATCGCATAATTTGTACACAAATTATATTTGAAGTTTCTGGTGTCCTAGGTGGATAGAATTGGATCTAAAAAGAAAATAAAAAAGGAATAAACTTTAAAAATGCCCTCTATCCTTCCAAAAGTTCTCTGCTCACTCTTAACTACCCTAAGAACATTCTCCCCTTGTAATCTTTATTGACAATTTTTTACATTTTCCAAGTTTTTCTCTACTAAGCATATATTACCTTCACAATTTAAAAAAAGTAAATATTTTTAAAGTGATGCCCCCATTATTTCTTTACCTGTAACAAACTCTTTCATGGTATGGCTTTTTCCATGGCATCTGTCACTTCCCACTCCCTAACTACCCCATTCTGAAGGCTGTCTTAGAAAGGTTGTCACAGAGAGCTTGTCATGCTGTCTCAACTTGGGTCTGCTCACTCCCAGGGTTACAGTATGTGAAGGCCTTTTGTCCCCTACAACATCATACCCATGATCCTTAGCAAAACCACCGAGGGGGGGGGAGCACCAAAGCCTATTGTTCCCAGGTCATTTCCTGTCACTCTTCGGTGCGAACCCTCACACCCAACCTGGCCACACAGAGCTTCCCACAATTTTGCAAACATACCACACACTCTGATGCCCCTCTGTCTTGGCTCATTTTCCATTCTGTGTCAAGAGTAGTGTTTCAACCTCAGCATGCAGCAAAATTATCCTGTTCCTTTCCCAACCCCCTGAGTGTTAGCCTCATGCTTTACTGTGGCCACCTCTCCACAAAACAGCCCCTGGGAGCCTTCTGCTGTACAAAATTTCCCATGTTGTCCTCCAGCTAGTTAGACAAATGCTTATCTCAGCGTACGAGTCCTATCAAGACAGAATCTATGTCTACAACGTAAATTTTGTTTGTTGTTCCATCTAGCTCATAAATCATACTTGTCTATGTTGTTGCTATTCAAATGAAGAGAATACTATAACGGAAGCTGAGAGTTTTGGCTCGTGCCTGTAATCCCAGCTCTTGGAAAGCTAAGGCAAGAGGATGCTATGGCAGAGGCCACCTTGGGAGATCTTGCCTTAAAATAAACAAAAAGGTGGAGGGAGACTAGAGTAGTTTCCTTGAGGAAGTTCTCCAAGAAGTAGATTGTTTAGGTTAGACACCAAAAATGTGCAAGCACAACCTACTATTTTTGTTGTTTACTCCTTTCTTAGACTGTTATATCTGAGGATTTATGAACTTAAAGCTTAGTTTTTGGTTGCTCATTACTTGCTTATTGTGAGTGAGATTAAAAAAACACACAAATGCAATTGTAAACTGTGGCAAATGCCATAGAGGAAAAGAACAGGAAATGAGGTAAGAGGGTATTGTTGAGGAAGCAACTGCAATCATGGGAAGTAATGAACAAGGCGCAGTTGGTCACAAAAAGAATAGGAGAAAGTGCATCCAAAAAGGAGAAGAATGTACTAGAAGGTTCAGAAGGAGGGAGAAGGGAGGAAGGAGCTGGCTTGTTCATTTGAGAAAGTGAAAGATGGCCAGCCTGCCTAGAACCTGACCTTGGCAGATCAAAGGCACCTTCAGGCAATGAGGGCTCCTCTAAAATATGCTGGTTCTGTGACAGATACTGGGCTTCTTCTGAGGGCATCCATAAGTCACTCAAGATTTTATGTAGGGGGAAGGAGGAGGAGACTGAATTTATAGTGTGTGTGTGTGTGTTCCTGTATGTGTGCCCTCATGCACACGCACATGTATGAGCATGCCTGCAGAGGTCAAAGGCTGATGTCAGATGTCTGCCTCAATCTCTCCCCATCCTATTTTTTGAGACAGGGTCTCTCTGAACCTGGAACTCACCAATTCACCTAAACCGACTGGCAGGACCTCAGGACTCTCCTGTGTCTGCCTCCCTAGCTCTGAGATACTAGTGCTTGTCGACACATCCACTTTTCATGTGGGCTCTGGGGGATCAAATTCAGGTCTTCAGGCTAATGTGGTATGCACTTTACCTACTGAGCCATCTTTACAACCAGCAGATTTGTATTTAAAAATACAGAACCTTAAGTGAAAACTAAAAAACTGGGTAGATTGCTAGTGAAATGGGCAAAGTTCTCTGACTTTTCGACACATTCAGAATACTAGTTATTGACACCTGTCAATCAAAGGTACTCATCAGTGGAATTTCGGTCTTCAGTCACTCTCAGAAGTGACACTCAAACCCCCTCTGTGCTCTTGTTCCTCTGAGCAGCACAGTTCATACAGAACAGACCCTGCCTCCAAGAAGGCCACTTTGAACATGTCATAGAATTTTAATTGCACAACATCTCCAAAGCCTCCTGTCAAGATAAAGGCTGGCATCTGATGTTGGCTGGAACTCAACATTTTCATTTCAAACTTCAGTTGAAAACTCTGCCTTTCTCACCTGAGTGGACGCTCTGTGAGTGGCATTCATGACACAGTGAAAGCTGCTATTTTTGTTTGTTTAGAAATGTCACAAGCCTTCTCTCCGTTGAGAACAAATTCACTCAACTTGCAGTTATGTCACAAAAAGAGATAAAAATGCAGTATCGTTGCTCGAATGTTCTGGTGACATTTTCTTAAGCCAAAAGACATGTGACAGCTAGAAAAGGCAAGAGAAGAGGAGCAGTGACGCTCAGACCTGACGAAGGCTAGAGGGACATTAGTGCATACTTCAGTGCGTAGACACCGGATGCCACAGAGTTATGCTGCACGAGTTTTAGTACTGTGGGAGGAACACTGTCCATGCACGGAGGGGACAGCCAAATATCCAACGAACAGCCAAGAGACGGACAGCTGAGACGGGTTCAGGGCCAATACATACACCGCCATGCAAACTTTGTTCCCAATTGTTTTATAAGCAGTGATTTAGCAGTGTTAAAAGCAATGTTTGGAAAAATCAACAGAAAAAGAGGAAAGACCAAAGGAGAGAGTAAAGAGCAGGCAAGGCATCTTAAAGGATAATGTAAATGGAGGGGGAGATTCCAAAGAGGGAAAATACCAGTTACACCTCAGATAATAACACCGCCAAGAATAAAAGCTAAATCTTTTAACACATCCTGGTTTGGCCACGTATTAAATGCCTTCCATGGTTCATCTGATTTAAACTTCTTACGAACTCTACAGAGGTGAATATGGCTATTTCTGTTTGGACGATAAGGAAACTAGTGTTAAATCCAGGATCTAGAAGCAAGCCTGTGAATGCGGGAGCAGCTTCACCAGATTGCTGCAGCCTTTGCAAGTGAATTAATTGTGAACACATTTCTCTGTTTTTGTTTTGTTTTGCTGGCTGGTTGGTTTTCCAAGAAATGGTTCCTCTATGTAGCCCTGGCTGGCTTGGAACTCACTCTGTAGACCAGGCTGGCCTCGAACTCAGAGATCCGCCTGCCTCTGCCTCCTGAGTGTTGGGATTAAAGGTGTGTGGCACCATCCCCCAGTTTTGCTATTTTTAACCTAGGTAATGGGGGCTTAAGTTAAAAATGATACTGATGGTCATCTTAATCTTTTAAAAGTTTTCTAAGTCATATTTTAGGGTCCCCTTCTGTCCTAAATATACTAAGCTCGGCAGAACTTGGATTTCACTTCATAATTCACAGTAGACTAAGCATAGCTGAAACCTGACTGGTCAGGGTACGCTAAGATCCATAAGTCTGTTTTGTTCTTATCTTTCACTGGAAGCGGAATGCTCTGAGTGAGTTGCTCCTGGTTTGTCTACTGGGCTGTTTACACTGCCAGGCTCCCAGCTTTCCCTGGCTGTCACGATCCTCCGCTCTGGAAGGAACCTGCCTTTCCCTTTCTCCAAACGGCCTGCTTGTCTACATCCCTTCTGAATCATCTGAATCATCTGAATCATCAGCTTCCAATCAACTCAACTCAGTTTTATTTTGTTTGGTCCTTGTCCGCAGGCTACTTCATCAGCAAAAACAGTAGACATCCTAAGCCAGATCCAACACCCATGCACTACCCTCCAGCAAATCTCAGCCAGTCAGAGCCGAGGGGTTTGCACAGCTTAGTACAGACTGAGAAGATTGGCCACTCCAGGAATTGACAGGATTACCGTTTCATAGCAGAGTGACCTGAGGCTCATAACTACCACTGGAAGTGCATTCCAGGACGTGTTTGGTACACAGGAAGCCGTGGGTTTGATCTCCAGTATAAAAAAAGGTCTCCAGCAGAGAAGGAACCAGCTGAGATTTGAACATGGTCTTTCTGCCATTCTGCTTCCTTCCACAAGGGGTTTGGAAGAACAAGACAATCTTTTCTTGCTATAGTAACTGCTGCAAGAAATAGCCAGATTTTGCTCTAGTAACAAAGCACAAATGGCCACGTGGAGAATGCTGCCTGTGTTTGAACTGGTACCAGCCTGGTACCAGTCATGCTGCCACATGTCAAGAGATCCCCTTGGCCGTTGGCTTCCTGTCGTTCTTGGGCACAGCTTACCAGTATATTACTGCACAGGTATAAACAAACACACAATGAAATATATGTTTCTCTAAGGCAAGTTAGATATCTTTTGAAATAAAGGTATTGCTAACATGAACTTTTTTCATTTCATTACTCAAAAGCTTTCATGCTCATGTCATTCAAAAATCCTGTTTTGTCTCCCCGATGGCCTGGTTGTCTGAGTTCCTCCATTGGTTTATTCAGTTTATATTAAGTAACTCCTTAGTGCTAAGAAAAGTGCAGGAAGAGTCTAGCTAGTGAACTAATATGAATTTGCATTTACTCCCAATGACCGTAAACGTTATCGATCCTTACAAAGCAGTTTCAGAGAGCTGAAGACATAGGTCAGCCATAGGACACCTGTCTAGCATGCATCCCTGAGTTCCATCCCCAGCACCCCAAAAGACAAAACAGGACTCACAACCCTGTTTTGTTATTTCAAAGGCCAGATTACTAAAATGCATTTCATTCAAATGTTCTCGAATTTAAAGGCGCTTCCTATGTAAATCACCCCCCTCCATAACCAAACAGAAAACCTCCTTCAACCTGTAATAAGAATCACTGACCACACCTTGGGCCCCAAGGTCTCAGAAGACTCAGAAAACTATAGAGAAATATTTTAAATACGGATGTCAACAAAGTACACTACATGAACAAAGCTGGGGGGGGGACGGGGTGACTGTAGGGGAAGAGATCCTGTCAGGACTGTCACTTTAAGCTCTCCTTAAATCCTTTTCCTTGTTACTGTGACTTTGCTTAAGTTAAAAAAATCATAAATGTCAAATGAGCCTTCTTGAGCCAGCAGCATCCTTAGGACTCTGCTCTGCAGGAAGGCATGGCACACACAGGTGGCCTCATTGTTTTTGTCGTTGTTTTGTTCAGTTGGTTTGTGACACACTTTGTGGAGATCCTTAGGTCCAGGGTTAGCCCCTGTTTGTGCTCTAAATGGCTCTGTTAATGGAGTGTTGTGGCACTTAGGTTCTTTCCTTTCATACAGACTGAAGCCTCCTTTGTCTCCCTCCTGACAATGGCAGGCACATTCCAAGTCCCTTAAGTACCCACTCCTTCCCAGTGCTTCCAAGTCATCTTGCTCCTTGGAGAAAAAGTCTGATTGGTCCCTCAAATAGATGAGATTTGATGACATTTTAGAAAAATAAACAGGACATGACACAAAGCAATGCCATTATTTTCCATTCCCAAGCTTTCCATTTAAAATGCCTTCCCCTGATCTTCGCTGGTCTTCTTAATGGCATAAATGCTTAAAAGATTAGATAGATTGTACAGAAACTTCTGATACTTAATTCTCAATGGCACATTCCAAATAACTGAAAAAAACTATACACACTAATCTTAGAAATTTCAAACAAATGTCACAATCGACATGACCACTGTATTTCTGACCTGTTGAAAAAATAATAATGTTTTCTGCTTTCTTTTCTCATGTATCATTATTAGCTGTGAACCCAAATTGTATATTATCTCATATTTTATATGGCTAATCTCATCACCTCCAGTGACCAGTGGATATTTTATGACTGAAGTTCTTAATAAATAATTTATTTCTCTTTTCCATTACGAAGAAAGCAATGTTTCAGAGCAGTCCCTGACACTGATACTCCCAGCACCTCCACTGCCTCATGAACAAATGAGTTGAGGCCTAATGCACATAACTTCTTTCTATGAGATCAGTTCATCAATATTGATTGAACTGCTGTGCACAGAAATATGTAGTAGAACCCAGGCACCTCCTCCCAGCAGCCCTTTATGGTCAGCCTGAGCTTACCAAGCTCTGAGATGATTGACAGGTTTTCCTACATCAGTAACATTATTGGGAAGAATTCCTAATTACAACCTAACACACAATTAAGTCCATTAACTTTGTAAATACGCTAAAATTTCTGGGCCCACAGAAGGCAGATGCTCCCCCAAAGCAAGGCATGACTTCAAGCCTCGGTCAGCCCCTCCATCTTTACCTGACTGGATGCACTGGGGGCCAGTGCCTTGCTTCTGGTCATCAACTGCATGAGCATCTGCTTTCTGTGATGAAGAGGAAGCTGAAACCACTTAATGAGGAGTCTGAGGAGCAGGAGGAAGAGGTGGTAACCTGAGCTGCATGATTTCCTGACAGGGCACATCACCAAGGCTAAGTGAATCTACAGCAGACACATGCACACCTCCAACAATTGCAAATGGCCATTTAGCCAATGTTGGCAGCAGTCCTTCCAGGTAGGCAGCCTCCTCGGCTTTGGGGATAAGTGCATGGGGGTGAGACTTACACTCTCTCTAAGGTCACAGCAGAACTACTGGCATCTGGCCAGAGATCAGTGGGGTGTGGCCACCGACCAAAAAGCTTATGTAGTAACCAGTCACCAGGGAAGAGAATTGTGAAACCGACTCTGCCCACCTGGGCCCACTCCTTATACTACCACAGGCTATCCCAACAGCTTGGAGCATTTGTCCTGGAAATCACTCTGTAGACCAGGCTGGCCTTGAACTCACAGATCCTCCTGCCTCTGCCTTTCAAACGCTGGGATTAAAGGCGTGCGCCACCACTGCCTGGCTGGATTTGCTCTTTTTGAGACTGCACTTAAAACTCAGGACTAGTGTAGCAATCCCATTGAGAGATCATGGGTTTCATTCTGCCGAGTAGCCCTGGTCTTCTGCCCTCTGCCTAGGACCTTGTCTGTCTCCATGGGCACATACAGTACCGTCTTGCCTTCTCAGTTCTTTCCCCCAGACCCCATTCGCAGGAAAGCTGCACTTGAGCCTCGGCAGACGACGTGCTCTTGGAAAAGAAAAGCGGCTAACAATAACAAGAACAGTGAGCACCTGATGGCATGACAGACATCAGGGTAGCCGTGGCCTTCCCAAATGTTCCAGAAGTTTCCTCATTTCAACGGAAGTAAGCAGAGGGACAGAAGTTGACTTTCGGCCCCTCTGACTTTATTCCCGTGGAGACAGCACCACGTTTGCTGAGGGACCAGATCCTAGACACTCATCCCTCTGGATGGACAGCTGTTGGCTGGTTCTGCCGCCTGTCGCACAAGCCATGTAGGGCCGTGTGTGTGCTAGGACTGGAGCAACTGTGGAAGGCATCCCCACCTGGCCCACCCATCACTGTCACACATGCCTCCCCTCTGGAGTGACAATCCAGTCCCACTCTTCCGTATCCCACAAAGCTTAAACAAGCATTTGCCTACAGCAAACAACTCAGAAAATTTTCACAAATACAAATATCCATCAAAAGATGGAAAGGGCCATTTTGAAAAGTAGGTTTTAATGTCCCTTGTATCTGCGGAGTATTTCTTTTAGGCACAGGCCATGCTGTCATTAGCTTGGGCTGCTAAGGAATTTCTCAAGGCTGTAGGCAACTGAATGGAACTAGCACCGCCATCTTCTTGATTTAATCATTTCAATCCATTTTCAGATCTCTCTGATAAAAACAGGCAAGTGACAAAGCCTTGCTTCATGACATCAGCTTTATAAAGTTCCCAATGTTAGCTGAGGGGCACCTGACCCGCTCTTTCCTACTCCCTTCCCAAGCTCTCCTCACCTTACACAACAGGGCCCAAACCTGGATGTAACTTGTAGGGAGGGACGCTGAAATGGCCCAATATTATGCTCTGTTGTGAGAAAAATCAATCAGTTCTGAGTCGCTGATCACAGGGAAGTGGAAAGTAGACACACTCCAATGTGTTTCGTATTTACTGAGTTCGAAAATGTGGTAGCCACTGCAGGGACCTGGCGAAGACAAATTCCTTTGGTCTAAGAGTTCTAGGTAATAGTCGTGAGGAGATCTTCTGGAACAGCACTGGTCAGGGTAAAGAAAGAAAGGAAGAAGTTGGAGCCGATGACAAGAAGGGGACGTTCTGATGACAAGGGTAATGTGCAGGTTTTGCGACTCCACTACTGGTTAATGACATCCTCAAGGATAAGAATATTTGGCAGGAGGAACAGAGACTTTGGGCAAAAGATAATGAACATTCTATCAGCTGTTTTTCACTTCTAGATTGAGACGGGCATCTCAGTTTAAGCATGAAATCAGAAAGTGAATACAAGGGATTAAAGGTTGAGATGGGTAGTATTTGCCATTCGGGGTCACATTTGCCACTGTTACATTAAAGGAGAAACCAGGCAAGGGAATTGGCTCCTACCTACAAAAAGAAATGTAACCATGTGGCTGTCAGGAGACACAACAAGACAAACTTGAAAGGTGTAAAAAGACAATAACAGTTATCAGGAAGGTGGTCAATCCAATTCCTTAACAGCCCAAGCTATAGAAGTTGATTCTAATTTGATTGATTTAAAACAGAAACTTTAATGCAATTTCTTCTTTCATTTTGCAGTACATCTCCTACTAAAAAAACCCCACTAGTTCAGGACCATACAAGGCTAGGAATTCAGTACTGAAAAATGATTATTATGTCAGCATTTCAGCCAGGGCTGCTCTTGTGAGATTCACCGATGTCTCTTTCATGAGATAGCATCAAACTCCATAGAGACATCTACACAGGGCAATAAAAGTCGTTTTGACTTAATGCTTCTTGCATTGCTCCGTTTGTTTTGTTTTTGTTCTTGTTCTCCCCACCCCACTCACCAGCTTGTTTATTATGCGGCCTATCTTTCTTTGAGGTTATGAAAAGGAATCTGAATGTCAAGAAATTGAATAGCATGTTAACGTTTTTTAAGGCCAACATTTTACTAACTGAACACCAGAGCCTATTTGAAATACGGAGTGAAAGTCTTCTCTTGCCTGCCAGCCAAAGGACAACTTGGGCCAGCCACTGCAGAAAGCACAAGCCCCATCATAACCCCACACTCTACTTCCTGATGCACCTCAGAGCACAGGCAAAGGCAGACTGACACAGAAACGTCCACTCCCTACATTGAGAAAAAACTAGGAACAACCACCTATATCTGCATACTGATCGAGAGCCAGTGGGCAAATTAAATAGTATTTTAAAAGCAGAAAACTGGAGCTGGGGAAATAGCCCCGTTGGGTTATTGTTGGCCATGCAAACCTGAAGGAACTGAGTTTGATCCCCACTATCCATGTACAAGCACATGTGTAATCCCAGTTAAAGAGATAGAGACAGAACGTTCTTTGGGGTTCACTGTCACATAAGCTTAGCCTATTTCTGGAGGCCTAAATCCCAGTGAAGAAACTTTGTCTCAAAAAAACAAAGCAGATGGAATCTGGGGAATATCATCCAATGTTGACCTCTGGCCTCAACACAAAAAGCTACTAAGAAATTTTATGTGTGTGTGTGTATACGCATACATATATATGGACATTTCTCAGTAACAATATTAAGTGAGCAACTTGTGTAGGACAGCAAAGCATAGTAGGACATCAGAAATTTAAAACACAAAACACAGTGCAACACATTGTTTTACTGACACACAAAAATATAGGGAAAGCATGACTATGAAGAGTAGACTCAAAATTCATAATTAGAGAAAGAAGCAAAAGCAAGATTTGATTTCCTTTTGTAAAAAGTGAAAACTCTGATCAGTAGGTGGCTCAGGAGCTAAGGTGCATGCTTGCAGGCCTGAGGACCTGGGAACCAATCTGTGAAATGAGATAAAACCAAAGCCCACAAATTGTCCTCTGCCCTCCACATGTGTGCCTTGGCACACACGTGTTCAAACACACACAAAATAGATAAATAAATAAATGGAAAGAAGAAAAACGTAAAGCAGATAAGGTCAGTGCTCTCGTCCACCACTAGCAATGGCTGGGGAGCAGAGGGGCACAAAATTTTCTGCTTTCTCAAATCCTTCTTATGAGTATATTCATCAATAGTCAATCAGATTACAAGGCTGATTAACACAATCCAAGCCTGTGGTTGATCTCATCAGACAAGAACAACGAGACTAGCTAAAGAAAGTGTATCTTTTAGTACAATTGGCTCTCAATCCTGCTAATAGTGCGACCCTTAATGCAATTCCTCATGTTGTGGTGTCCCCCAACTATAAAATTACTTTTGTTGTTGCTTCATAACTGTAACTTCGCTACTCTTCTGAATCCTAATGTAAATATCTGATATGCAGATGGTCATAGGTGACCCAGGCGAAAGGGTTATTTAACTCCCAAAAGGGTTGTGATCCACAGGTTGAGATCAGCTACTTTAATCCCTTAATATTCTCAGGCAAATAATAAATATTTTAAATGGTTCTCTGCAGCTCTCTTTTTGTTGTCCAACAACATAGTTTGTTTTTATTTAGTAGAGTCATATTTTTTCTTTTCATTTAACTGCCCATTTCCTCATGTTCTCCACAAATATTTGTTGAGCCTGCCCTTAATTCTGAGTCACTGAGTAAGTAAATACTCTCTCTTGCAAGGTCCATACAAAAATATACTCATTTCTATAAGGGAATCTTGCCATCCTGTGCAATATTGGTTCTTGTATATAGTAAGAAAGGATTTCTATTTTTGAAGTTATCTAAGAATAGCAATGATGTGTTTCTTTACAGAATACCATGCTAATGTATTTCCAAAAATAAAATCGTCAGCATTTAACTATCTTCTTGCTAAGAGATTTTAAAGGTCATTTAAGAAAATGAGTTTTGAATATGTTCAAACAGGCAGTCATAACAACAAAGTTGAATAAGTTGATCTTTGAAGGTTTTCCAAAGACACAGATTAATTGGCCAGCCTGTCACTATTAACGACAATAGCATTTGATAGGACAGAGCCTGAATTTGGCATGGGCACTATAACAACAGCAGTTCAACATCTCAAGGCTGAATTTTCCAGAAGTTCAACACTGAAAGTCTTGTCTGGCCCATCTTTCTCTGTGTTAGTGATGCGTGTTCTTTGCAGAACAAATATGCATCATCAGCAATACTGAAAAAAAAATCAGGCTCAATACTGTAGGCTAAGTTCAACATTATTGTTCCTGCCCAATGTATTCCTACATTTCCCCCTCAACTTGTTGGCTTGATAACAATGGCAGAAGTGCACTTTTAGGTTCTTGAATGTCGATCCTCAGTTCTGATGGCAGGCTACCCTGCGTGTCACCCATAAAGGAATAAGTGTATAGATAAGAAAAAAGTCACTTCACAACCATTCAGGAGCAAGTCTTCATGACAGCGGCTTAGCCCAAGAAACAGTACCGATGGCTGGGAGCAGAGGGACACAAAATTTTCTGCTTTCTCAAGTCCTTCTCATGAGTATATTCATCAATAGCTAATCAGATTACAAGGCTGATTAGCCTAATCCAAGTTTGGTCTAACCAAACAGGAACAAAGAGGCCAGCTAAAGAAAGTGCAGCCGACGAGTGTGTCTCTCTTCCACAGTTCATCTCTTACACACACACACACACACACACACACACACACACACACACACACACACCACCACCACCACCACCACCACCACACATTTATATACCTAGAGTTCCAGTCTTCATCTGGTAATTATGCTATCAAGATTCCACAAGCTAGAAATGTCCAACACTTCCCAGAAAGCAGCTATTAGCTTCTCAAGTGTCTTATCATGTGGTATGTATGCACTCAACATCCTTTATTACACTTTTATTGCACTTTATTGCCTTCCCAAAAGACTTACTCCATGTCTGTCAATCACACCCATAAAAACAAAAGCTTTCTCACATTATTTTCTTTTATGGCATCAAATGTATTCAATAAACTATACTGTAGTGACACAGTCTATGGATTCTTCAGAACATAGCTAAATTAAATATAAAATATTGTTTGCTTTCAATTGCTATCTTGTCAAATCATAGCAAAAAAAGAAAAGAAAAGAAAAAGCCACAAACCCATGGGAAAATGAGATGCCAAGGAGGGTGTCATATTAGATATAAGAATTTTCTTTGAGAAATAAAAAGGATCTCAGCATTTTTTATTTGAAGCCCTCATTTGTCAAATGTGAAAATAGCAGCCAACAGCTATCATGTAAACAGACAAACACACACAAAACAAAACAAAGCAGGCTTAAACCCATATCTCAATCCTGAGAGCCTGCACCTAAGTGCCACCAGATACAGTAGTTTCCATTTGATTTCTCCATGTGTTTTGAGTTTTTATTGTGAATAAGTAACTTAAACGGGCATATAAGAACTTTTAAAAAGCAGGGAGGAAAAAACCCTCCAGGTAAGCGGTGAGAAAAAGTGAAAGTTTACCTGACTTGCAGTGGAAGTCACATTTGAAGCTGGCTGTGCTACTCAGTTACTGAATGGTTCTGTGCAGTTGCTTCACACACACACACACACACACACACACACACACACACGCACGCACGCACGCACGCACGCACACGTCCTAAACCCCAATTTCCTCTTAATGAAAATGGGGCAACAATTGTTATCCCCTATAGTTGGATATGTGGATCAAACAATTTCATAAAGTATCTTGTCTTATGAAAGTAGGAAATAATTCTCTTCCTCAAGGGAGATGTGACAATCATCAACAGACAGAGCAATAACAAAAGGCTGACCGTGCTCTGGCCAAGCCACAAAGGAAAAGAAAGGATGCTGAGTAAGGAGGATGGAGAAGAATCAAGATCACCCCTTATCTATCACTTATGCACCATGTCAAGCTCACCTTAGAAAGGATGGAAGAGCAGTGGGAGGAAATACAGACTTACTCACCCAGCCTCACTGCTAAGATAGTGCCAATCAGCTAGGCATGCTCCTAATTTCAAACCTTCAACGGCATCATAACCATCTCTTCTATTAAAATATGCCTTCTTGTCGACCCCTCTAGGAGGACATTCAGATGCTTCAGATTCCCCAGGCGATGACAACCTGAACAAGGGCAGTATTTCATCAAAACTAAAATGACATCAGTAGTAGCATATACTATTATTCTACTAAGCACTAGTTTAAAAAAATGTTTCCAAAGAAATGAAATTATAAAAGTCTGCCACAAACACTTATGGGAAGAGCAAATAAGAAGCTGGCTTCCCACAACAAAACGGGGCAAAGAAATGTACATGCCTCAAGCCTGTGACCAGCTGACAAACATTTAAAAAATACCCTTCCTAAAAACCTGCCCTAGCAGCTGGAACTGAGACTGTACAACCACTGGGGTCTCAAGAAGCCTTAAGCAGAAGATTCAGTTTTAAGTGGTGTCAGATGGGAAGTGTTCCTAGGTAGAGAGTCCAAGCAAACACAAATCCGCAGGTCTACGGACAACATCAGCTTCATTCATGCTGATAAGTCATTCAAGTGCTATCAATCATAAGACACACCTAGACTTCAGGGGTGTTGAAGACAGGGAAAGTGTATGAAATGGAATTAAAGAAACACAATACCCTGTTTTTACAAAGAATGAGGTGGTGCAACACATGGGTCTGAACTAGGCTGCAGGTGTCGGTTAGTGACATCAGGAATTCTAAAGCAAGTTTGACTCACAAGTACCCTTGGAGTGGGGCTTCATGCCCGTGTCAGTTTTCATTTCAGACTGTTTTGCGGATACCATAGTAGCACTGTTACAGAATGTGAGTAACTAACTGTCTCTGACCCAACCTCAGGTCAGATCTTCGATCTAATATGGAAAGGGAATCCATCAAAAGTCAGTTTGGTGGACAGTAACTTGCTTTTCATTCTTCCAAGCTTAGCAGGACCATGTAAGATACTTATTAATTATTCTGATTAGATTCTGTTCAACATTGCATTGCTATGTATATACCAGGTTTTTTTTCTTTTAGTCAAACAACTAGCTCCTAAATCACAACCCAGAGATTTAATACTAGTTATGAATGCTCGGCCTAGTTTAGGCTTGTTTCTGGCTAGCTGTTTTAAGTTAAATTAATGTATTTCTCTTTATCTACCTTTTGTCTCAGGGCCTTTTACCTTTCTTTCCTTCTGCATATCTTACTTTCACTGCTTCTCATGTCTGCTGGCTGGTGGCTGTCTGGCTTCTTGCCCTGGGTGTGTCCCCCTTTTTCTTCCTGTTCTCTTCTTTTTTCCCTTTTCCCCATGCCTAAATTTCTCCCCCTTATTCCCTCTGCCTGCCCGCCACACCTATCCTTTTCTGCTTAGCTATTGGCCGTTGAGCTTTTAATTAGACCAATCAGGTGCCTTAGGCAGGCAAGGTAAAACAAATGCAACACATCTTTACACAATTAAATAAATGCAGCATAAACAAATGTAACACATCTTCACATAATTAAACACACATCCTTGCATAGTTAAGCAAATGCAGCATAAACAAATGCAACATACCTTTACACAATTAAAATAATATTCCATAGCATAAACAATTGTAATACATCCTTACATTACTAAACAAATGCAGCATAAACAAAAAGTAACACATCTTTACATAGTTAAAATAATATTCCTCAGCATAAATAAATGTAACACATCTTTGCCCAGTTAAAATAATATTCCACAACATATATACACTATGTAAGACAGTCAATTCCTTTTGTTTAAATATACAGATTATGGGGACATAATTAATTGCTATTGAGGGAAGGAAATTTTTATGGGGTTTTCTTATAGATACAGTGTAACTAGGTATCATTACAGCTTTTTATAAAAATCCATTTGAGGAAACTTCAGACTTATTAGGCATTTGAATTCAGGTCTTTTTTGTTTGTTATTTTATTTATTTTTCTGGTTTCTGAGACAGGGTTTCCCTGTGTAGCTTTGGAGCCTGTCCTGGAAGTAGCTCTTGCAGACCAGGCTGGTATCAAACTCACAGAGATCTGCCTGCCTCAGTGCTGGGTTTAAAGGCATGCTCCGGCCTGGTCTTGTTTCTTATAGTAAAATCTTCATCCCCCACCTTGGTCCTTCAGCTCTACAAGTCATTTCAGAAGATAATTTGTGATACTAAAAAATGTCTGACTGACTTAATAATTGTTTGTAAATAAAGACAAAGAAAATGGGGGGAGGAGAGGATACAAAATTTAGACATTCTTTTCCAAGTTCACTCTCATGCCCAACTCCAAGTAGCCTCTTCTATGTTTCCAGAGAGGAAGAATCTGGAGCTCCTTATAGGTCTTTTGCCTATGCCCCAGGCTTCTCTGACCATCAGAGTCTCACCTCAGGTCTCTGAGATCTCTGCCCATACAGACTCTGCACACTGAGGTACTGGGCAGGCATGGGGCAGCTTTCTAGGCTCATTGTGATAGGAGGTTGTCGATTCTTCGAGGGTGGACTGCACTTCAACAGAGTCCAACCCAGGGCTCTGTAAGTGCCCATCTGATTTCTACCTTCCTAGAGACCCCGTGTCTTCAAAGTGTCATTCATTTTAGAATCTACACAAGCATCTTCTGTTCTCTTTCAGGGTCTTAATGGCAAGCCTACAACTAGGTCTCACACAAGCATACAAATTCAGGAATGGTTTTTCAGAGACACCAGTTACTATAAGATAACACGTATAATTATAGGACACACATATGTGGGTGTAACACTGCAAGATATGCTAAACTGATCACTCTTAGTACATAGATAGAACAATGAAAACTGGGCTGCACACAAACACATCACATTTTTGAAAAGGGAGAATGCTAAAGGAGATTCTCAACAAAAGATGCTTGGCTGTACTGGAAGCTGAGCGATGAAATGATGACAAGTATGATTTCATCTGAGTATGGAACTCACTCCAGAGTCAAGATGGGAAACGTGCACAGACACGCTGTTGTGCGGGTGTAGATGAAGACTCAAGCTGGTGTTCTGCTTGGAATAGCTTCACATCACACTCCCCAAATATTATTCTCTCAACCCAATTTATTTTTACTTTTTAGCATATGTTAATCAACAATTTCAAATTGTCAGTATAAAACAGTAACATCATTGCCCACACTGCAGAGTACATATGTATTTTCCTGATTACATGAAATGGAGAATATTTATAGATGAAGTCTATTCTGTTTAACAACTATATAGACTTGTTACTGTTCCTTTTTCTTATTGTTTATTCCACCAGGAAATACACATATGCCTAGCTATGTATTTTAAGAGTGATTTGCATACATACAAATTCCTGGATTGGAGCCTGACACATGTAAATACTTATAAATGTTAATAATAATCATTATCACCATCATTGTTGTTGGTAATAACAATGTCCCTTACACTAATTCTCATTGTACCATAGTCTATACCTGCTGGGAAGTTCCCACAGGTATGTAGGATTTATTTCTAGTGTTCTGTCTTATAAAGTGGATAATTTTTTCTTTTTTTGTTTTTTCGAGACAGGGTTTCTCTGTGTAGCCCTGGCTGTCCTGGAACTTTCTCTGTAGACCAGGATGGCTTCAAATTCAGAGATCCATCTCCTCTGCTGGGATTAAAGGCATGTACCACCACAACCCACAAACTGGAATT